AGGATCCAGATTAGAGATGACAGCAGAAACCCTTTAAATGGGCTATATACATATCACTCAACAAAAAACAATTTTTGACGGTTTTTAAGACTAATATTTTTTGTATTGTTTATAATCCTAACATAGAGTTTATTTCATTTATTTTTTAAATTAATTTTATTTAATTCTTATATTCATTAATTTATATTTTTCTTTCTTCAGTCCCAAAGAGTGATATTTGCTTGTAAAGAAAATGTTAGTTTTACTTTATGGGTTATTAGTTGTTTAGTCCATGGAGTCGTGATATGGTTGTACATTAACGTGAAAGGAATTACACCGTATTTCGAAATGACATCTGATATAACCCTAACTTTAACCCTAATTTTAATTCGGAATTTTGGGTCTTTCAACACCATACCCGCTGTCCACGGTGGCCCAACCGATACTGATCGGGTATCGAATTGTGTGCCACCCGAAAGCTAGAACTTTCCTCATTTTTAATCATACACTGTGACTCCTCTTGGTAATTTATAGTCCAATCACGGATAACATCATCCAGTTCACCAGCAAACTACGCTCTTCCATAAAAAAAAGAAGTAGAAACACTAACGGTTTCTCTCTGGTAAGGGATATGGCGACACGCTCGGCTTGAAGTGGTAAGTGACGATCATTGTTTCTCTCAATGATATATATATATATATATATATATATATATATATATATATATATATAGAGAGAGAGAGAGAGAGAGAGAAGGAGAGAGAGTTGTAGAGTGGATAATGAAACGGTCAGATATAAGCAGGTGTGTACGCGTGTGCTGATGTGCATACACAGGTTAGCAAATAAATAATCGTTAGATTTGTGCATGAGGTGTAAAAGTAATAGTGTTCAATGCGGTTATACAAAACAAAGATATGTATTAATTAGTACATATAAGCCTACCTACGTTTTTGGTGTGCGTCTATAGTTTCGCAGGGTGGTGTTCCCAGTTCATCAGGCACAGGGTCTGACGAATTGGGAAAACCACCCAGCGAAAGTATAGTCACACAGTAAAAAACGTAGGTACGCGTATATGTACTAATTACACACACACACACACACACACACACACACATATATATATATATATATATATATATATATATATATATATATATATTAAAGACATTTTTATGGCGTATCAAATGTAAACAAATGTTTACATTTGATACGCCAGAGCAGTTATAAATGTACGAGATTCATGGAAAATTGAAGTTTATAAGCAGTAAATTCGACCTTGTCTGCCGAACGCTTCTTTGTGGCCGATCGGTAAGGCACGTCAGCGTAAATGACGGTTCCGTATAGGATGCAGGTTCGAATCCTGTCAAAGAACGAATATTTTCTATGAAAATTTCTCGGACATTCAGGCCAGTAAATGTTATTTAATACTGTTTATTATAAACAGAGCATTTACTTAAATACTTGTATCTATTAAAAGAACGTTAAACATAAAAATGTCTTTAATAAATAAATTGTCGGACTTTGTCCATTTCTTAATATATATATATATATATATTTATATATATATATATATATTAAGCATTACGCCCCGAGCAAGGCGTGAAGCCACTAGGATGCAGGGGGTTGCATAAGATTTGGAGCGAGAGCAGATAGGAGTGATAGAAGAAAGGATGAGAAGGATAGTGGATAGATCAAGGTAACTAGAGATGTCGATTGACATTACATTTGAATAGTTGGAGATTATAGCTCCCAGGGAAACAGTAATGGGGAATGGTGTTCCACAGGCGAGAGGTGCGAGGTATGAAGCTATTGAAGTAGAAGAGACGGATACATTTAAAAATTTCTACAGTGAAAGGGTGAGAGCGGGATGCAAGCCTCGTAGGACGCTTGAATTCATAAAGTCTGGGAACCAGTGAAAGCAGCTCATCGGAGCAATTACCATGAAAGTATTTGTAAAAAAGACAGAGAGAGGCGACAGCGCGTCTGTGAGAGAGCAACTGTAGACGAGATGCCAGATCAGGGCCAATTATATTACATATCCGTCTCTGGATCTTGTCAAGAACTCCGAGGTAAACAGAAGGTGCCCCAGACCATATATGGCAGCAATACTCCATGCAAGGGCGAATGGTTGTTTTGTATATTTGAAGTATCGATTCAGGGGAGAAAAATTTTCTGGCGCGGCACAGAGAGCCAACTTTCCTAGAGAGAGAGAGAGAGAGAGAGAGAGAGAGATTAATCTCTATTTCTGTATCACGCACCAAGCACAGTTTTTTGTAAAATAAAAACCATAAATACTAAAGAATTTTGGATTATTAATCTAACTTCTCTTTCTTGACTAGCTGTGACCTGTTCCAGCAAAACAGTCGAACTCTCTGCCTTCGGACAGAGAGGAACCCGGACAAGGCTCCGCCGAAGGCCAGAGTCTCGTTCGGGGAGGTAGACTGACTTTGAACCCATATAAAAGGATTCAAAAGGGAATATTTTGGGCCGAGCCTACGGGCTCGGAAAGCCATGGTTAAACTGACCTTGTGCCACATGCAACTCTCGTGGAGGGAGTAGCTAAATATACAAACTGCTTTTTCTTATTACATCGATACACACACACACACATACATACACACTCACACACTTGAAAATATAGTTTTACGGTATGATATATTTAAGTGTAAAATAGTTCAATATCTTGGATAGAGTGTATGTAAATATAAAACACATGAAGACTGCACGATGACTGTTTTAAGTTTCAGTGTGATTCTGACGATAGATTTAAAGCATGAAACTGACAATTAGAATTCATAGTCACACAGTCCATATCTATAAATTGTCACTGATATTGAACAAGCTTCCCCCTTTTGTTAGGCATTAATCCAGCGTGCCTCCATTAAAGTAATAAAAATATCGAATTAAAATCAACTCCATTAATCCTTTAGAAATTGCTTTGTTCACGAGAAATTGAGCAGATATAATCTCTCCAGAAAAATAATCTGTGTGAAGATGATATGCTTTCCTTAAAAAGAGTAATAATGCTTACTTTGACGTTCTTCTCACTCAATCAAACAGAGGCTTCCCCAACACAGGGGACACGGCTTCGATCCCGTCCGAGTGTTTAATAAATAAAAATGCGGTGTATATCAAATATCGAAGT